AATATACTTCAAGTACCAAAAGTACTCAGTATTCAGAATGGATGATTGGAACATGATTAGTGATGCATTAATGTTTTCAAAACTGAAATGATATTAACGGGGCGGACTTTATTCTAAATACTTAATAGCAGGCAAATTTAATCCATAATCCACATGATCCTTTATTCATAATAATTTCTTATTATAAATCTGCAAAGTAATTATAGCTGCCAGATAAATGTAAAAGTTTAATATTATCCTCTGAGAAGAAGCAGAAATCGGTCATGTATAATGTATATTCTTTATATAGTGCCTTACTCAAAGAGCAGATAACATTTTGCCTGCTACTAGCAAAATTCAGGCTATAATACATTAGAGAAACAGGGTGCAATTATTTTTTTGCAACAAGTTTATTGTCAATTTATTTTTTCTTTATCAGTAAATGTAACAGTACAAGAGAGCTAAGCCCCACTAAGTGCTTTAATACATTAATCATACATATGTAACAATAAGCTATATCCGTGTCATCATACACAAGTTTCTTTTATAGTAGGTATTTCTGTTGACTTTTTAGCCCTTAACGCGAAAAACATGATGGATGCTTACAGGAACGCAAAACATCAGCAGCTGCAGTGGGATTGACTGACAGCGCTACGGTCCAATCAGCGCAGAGCCGATTCTCCTGCAGCCAATCGGATCCGAGTGGCGGAACCTTGGAATCTGAACAGCTTGTGAGGAGGCTGCTGCCGCTAAGCTAGCCTAGCTCCGCTTCTGAGCAATGACATGCTTTGATATAGAAATGCTATTCCAACGGGGCACAGCGTCTCATCTGCTAGGCTAGCTTGTTGGATTGGAAACGGCTACTTCTGAGGATTCTGGATATCGTTTCTAGACATTGAATATTCCCTCTACAGGAGATAAAGAAGAATCCAGGTAAGACTCGGTGTGAATATCAGCCTGAAGCTATCTTTTCTCATTAGCTACATGCTAGCTCCTGCTATCCTTGAATTCACGTTATAAGTCACGTAGGCTAATAGCTATGTGCTAACCCAGACAAAACCAGTCTGTCGCCCTGCCAACATGGCCAACATACTGCTAACCAGCTGGCTATAGCGGTCAGTTTGTCTGTAACCGAGATTTTTGGGGCATTTCGAAGCGATTTGGTGAATTGTCTTAGCTATTTTTAGGTTGTAACGTCAAGTCTAAGTTATGAGAGAAAAACCTCAGATGAAACTGCTGCAAAACCTCTGATTCTGGCCACACAGTGCTCCACGTAAATGCTTTTATTGCTGAGATTGGAAATGGAGAGGAAGCCTAAATGGTAGCCACAGTGCAAATAGCATCTTCTAATTTACTGCATTCACAATCGTTTTCCCTTGTATGTTTGATGTCATGTAGTGTTTAAGTTGTTGTGCAGGGATTGGACACAGCTTGGTCATAACTTATCATTCCTTGTGATTTTATTCACATACATGGTTACTGTCACCTTTTGCTTGCCTAGTCATTTCGCTTTTCTTTGATGCATTGGTGTTTTAGACCAGAGGTTGAAGAAATACTCAGAAGTAGAAGTACAACAGTCTATGAATACTCTGTTACAAGTAAAAGTCCTGCATTCAAAACGTTACTCAAGTAAAAGTATTGGCATCAAAATATACTTAAAGTACTCATAATGCAGATTGGTCCATTTCAGAATATTATATTGTGTGTTTTGATCATAATTATTGATGCATTAATGTGCTTATTACAGCTGGTAAAGGTGGAGAAAACAACTGCTTTCATTATCCATTTCCCTACTTAACATCCAATCTATTTTGTAATAATTTAGACTGTACAGTTGTCTTCAGATATCCTTTTATGTTTGGAAAAAACCCAAATAAATTCCGATCACAATGACATAAGATATAAGCTAGACACTTTGGGGAAGCTTGGACTAGACACTGATTTTTAAAAATTTTTTTTACAATCTATGGTAAATGACACATTTTCTAGAGCCAGGGCATTCTCAGCTAAGATGCAGTAATAATTCCCAATTTCCCAGAATTGTATTTGTTGCGTTTAGACTAAAGTTATGCTAAACATCAATATTAGGCTTTTATGGTTTACATTTGAGTGTCAACGGGGTCCAGTAACATAATCATAACCCTATCCAGGAAGTGAGAGACACTAAACAAGTAAACTAAAGGGGGGGGCCACGATTTGAAAATCACTTCACCAGGGTAACAATTTCAAGTCCTATTTAAAGACAGAAACTAACAACTGCGTAGGAAAATGTCCGATGATTTTCTTGTAGCGAGGAAGACCGTGAATACGCAGGCAAATGCACTGAGTAAGTGAAACCATTTCTGTTTTGTGGCAACATTTGAGATAATTGCTCTGTTTCTCTCCTCACATTGTGTCTACCTTACACTATCAAAGCCAGACTAAATGTCATGCACCACCAGCACAATGGGCCATAAGACTGTGTAATTGTTGGCTAGCTCTTGTTTGTGTGGCATGACACTTATACAACAGAATAATCAGCTGGTTCATATTGCCTGGGTGTTGTACCTCACGGTGGATCATTTGGAGATATGTGGTTAGTTAGATGTTTATGATTCAAGGGGCGAGCATGTGTGTCTTTCAGAGCGCCGTAGGGGGGTTTTTGCAGCTGCTGATAGTATAGTTTCTGTAATTATTGTCACACTGACAGACCTCTTCACAGCCTCTCATTAAGGTTTCAGGGAGGTGAGGGGGGGGGGGAGACATTTGGTCTGTGTGTTCTCAGTGGGAGTCAGAGGGCCAGAGATGGTGCAGACCTGCCTCACAGCTTGATTTACCCAAAGGCTGATATTATATTCTCTCGAGGCCAATTTGCAAGATGTGAAAATGGCTATTAGGAGACGTATGAAGAACATGCCAAGTCATGAGCTCACTCTCAAGATCCTGGACTGAAGCATTAACTATTCATGTTGATATTACAGTCATGTGGCCCAATTTACTTCATCTGCGTTCTATATATAGCGCCTGCTAAGCCGGATACCCTCTAACAACGTCCTTGTATGCATGTTATGACGGTTTAATCTCATGGATATGAACTGATGAGCTCTTTTTCCTGTCTTTGCCTTTTTCTATGAGCTACCAGTGGCCCCAAGCAGCGAAATCTGTCCTCACAGCCGAGGGGGAAACACCAACTGTGCATTTTGGTGATGGCCAAAAATGTAATGTGGCTGAAAATGTCCCCGGTCTAATGACAAACCCAGGGATCTAATGTATTAAGTGGCTTTCTATTGAAGTTGAGTAACGCAGGCAGGGGATTCTTTTCCTCCGTCATTGCGTCTCTTCTCTCTTGGTATTGGCCTAATCTCAGCCTCATTTCACTTCCTCTTTTTCTTTCATAATTTCGTGTTTTTTCGGTTCGATCTGTTTTCCTGTGTCTGTCATGTTTAAACAGTCGGTGAGAAACAATACTTCCTATGTGTTATCCAGTGTCACCTGCTGAAAAACGAACTGATCCTTTTGTTTGTAACATTTGACGGATGACACATTTCTTTATCAGGTATCTAGGATCAAACATTAAAAAGCTCTACTCAGCAATAAGTGGAAGCAAAGTCATGAAGCAGTAGGTGATTGCGTTAGTTGTGAGGACATCTCCCTCCGCTTCTGTAAATCTAGTATATTTGCGGTTGTGATATTTGCTTTCATTTCTCATGCGGAGTGAAGGATTTGACTTCCTCATGTCACAGAGAGAAGTATGCAGTTTCAGTGGTGATTTTATTCATTAGCCCACTATGTTTCGGGGTTTTTCTATCAGTGTTTTTTGTAGTGTTAAAATGAGGATGTGTGCACTCACAACTGCACACAGAAATTCGTTTGTATTGATTTTGTAAGAAATGAATTTTTTTCCATGATGAAAGTTTACTTTGAAGCACATCCGCTTTTTTGTTTTGATCAAATTAAGCTCTTACTACCCTTTTTTTCATGTGAATTTGTCAAACCACAAATAGCTGTAGCCTACCCGTCAGCTTTATTTAAGGACTGTAAAGGCCGCTACACACCAACCTGAGTAGGGCGCCGCGAATGCCCGACTGCCTCTGACGGCCAAAATCCAGTAGGTGTGTCAGGGCCTTTAATCCACCATCACTAGTCCCATCGTTAACATTGGACGTCCCTTTTCAATAGCTCTTTTATAAGATGTTGTTAGAATTAAATCCTCTTAATAGCTATGATTTGTCAAATTCATTGGTCTGCATATTATAATTATACCCGTTTCTTCGTGAGATGCTAGACTCGATTTCTGTGATGAGCGTGGGGTGGGCCCTGTTTAGCAGAAGCATTTTTAAAGCTACACTTATCTTAATTTAATTTTAAATGCATTAATATTATGCCCCCACTTAAAGGTGACCTATCATGCAAAATGCACTTTTGTACGTCTTGTATTATGAATATGTGTCCCCGGTGTTCCAGGGAACTCACCAAGTGTCAGAAAACACAACCCTCTCTATTTTCCT